AACCCATGCTGGATGATTTAGTGGAAGTCTTGTGATTGTGTGTGTGTGTGCATACATAATACAAGTCAACAATAGTATACAGATTAAAGGAGTAATTAGATTTTGATGAGTCAGAGGATATATAATTGATATTGTAAAGATAACTAAAAATAATAATAATTTGTGTTTGGGGGCGGTATAAAAATTCAATCCAGCAGAAAATAGTAAGAAAGAAACATAAAACAACTGGAATAAATAGGTTATTAGTGTTCATACATAAACATAACTACATATTGTTTATAAGAGACAAACCTAAAATATAAGGAAATGGAAAGGTTGCAAATAAGACATGCCATGCAAAGGGTAAGAGAAAGTTTGATGTAGCCATACTAATATCAGACAGTGTGAAAAGCAATTTTTGGAAATAAAGAGGGGCATTGTATAATGATAACAGGTTTTATTCACCAGGAAGGTATAACAGCTCTAAATTTACGTAATCCAATAACGTAATTTAATGGGAAGTTTTTAATACACCTCACTTGCTAACTGAGAACAGGATGAGAGCTGAAATAGAAAACACATAAAAGAGAGGAAACCGAATAAAATTAATAAACTTTTGATTAGGCTGATCACAAAAAAGTAAGAGAAAGCCTCATTAACTAATCTGGAGGTGAAGGGGGTACCACTGCATGCAATTATACTTTTATTGATCAAAACGCTTATAAGAAAAGACACTATGAAGAACCTGATGCCAGTGCATTTGAAATTTAGATAAAGTAGACACACTATTAGAAAAATATAACTTACCAAAACAGACGCAACAGGAAGTATAAAATTCGAATAGCCCTATTAAAGGAATATAACTTTCAATTGAAAACCTACCCACAAAGAAAACTCCAGGTCCAGATGATTTCACTGGTGAATCTACCACAAAGGATAACCCTGAACAGACTATTTGGGAATGCAGAGTTGGTGTGATGTTCAAATATCAGTCCATGCATTTCACCACATTAACAGAGGAAATCTGAAAAACTTATGTCATTTCAATGGATGCAGGAAAAGCATGTAATAAAATTCAGCACCCATTCTTGGGGGAAAGGTTTTATTTAGCAAACTAGGACTAGAAGGGAACACCATTTCTCTGATAATGGTTATCAGTCAAACATCTGCAGCAGGCAAAGTCCTGGCTGGAGAAAGCTTTCTGAGATTGGGAATTAGACAATTGTACCTGTGTCTCTCAAATCATCACTGTACTGGAGGTTCCAGCAAGTGGACTAAGGCAAGGGGAAGAATAAGGATTGGGAAGGAAAAATAAATAAAACTGTTTAAGTGCCCAGTAGTGTTAGTAGCTACCATTTATATAGTACAAATAAACCAATCATTGCAGAAGATTCTGTTGGACAGTGCTGTTCAAAAGACAGTGCCCTTTCAACCAAAACCCCAGCATGGGTTTATTTGTTTTTAGTGAATTTGATGAGCTAATTCTAAAACATATGCTGACATGCCAGAAGACTAAGAATAGCTAAAATGTTATTGAACAAAAGTCTCCATTAGATATTAAAACTTCCAAAGCTGTCATAGTGTAGACAGTGTCTGGTTCTTGCACAGAGATTTAAGAAACCTAGGTGAGTCTGTATTATGTAGAACAGAATAGAAAATCCCAAAAGAAATCTAAACATTTATGGGCATTTGATTTATGATAAAGATAGCATTGCAGAGCAGTGGTTTCTGGGTCAGTTGGATGTCCATTTGGCAGGGGAGCGGGGAATGAAACTAGATTCCTGTTGCACACACAAATAGAAATCAAATCCAAGAGGATTCCCCATCTAAATTTGAATGGTAAAACCACTTTGAGAAGATAACAATTTTTTCATGACTTTGGTATAAGGAAAGATTTCTTAAACAGCATAAAAATACTAATTCTAAAGCAGAAGTTGATAAGAGATTGTGTTCATCCAAAAAACACCATTCAGAAAGTGACAGTGCAGATCACTTCTAACCAATAAGCAGATCAGATCTAAAATATGTTTAAAAAATGGAACTTTTTTAATTTTAGAAATTTGTAAGAAAAATTTCTTGATAGAAAAATGGAAAAGCAGCCCGAGTAGGCAGTTCACATAAGTGGATATCCAAATGGCCAATAAATAAATGAAAAGATGCTCATAGTCACCAGGAAAATACAACTTAAAATCCAGTGGAGTGCCACTAAACACCTCCTGTAATGACTGAAATTAGAAAGACGGATGATTCTGAGTGCTAGTGAAGGAGCGGAGTACAAGGGATTTGCATAAACTGCCAGTGGAAAAATAGATCTGATTAAAAGAAAAAAACTGGAAAAGCAACTAAATGGCATCTCCGTGTGTGTCGAAAGACACTTAACGAGACTCTTCCTAGTGGCAGTATTTGTAATAGCTCTGAACTGAAAATAATCCTAATGTCAATCAAAAGTAGAATTATAAGCAAGTCATCATATGTTTCTATCAAGTAATAATGAACAAACTAGTTATCGGCATAGCACTAAGCGAACAGACCCCTTTATGTAAAGTTAAAACTAATCTTATTTTAGAGGTCAAGATAGTATTAACTTGGGGAAGAGAGATCAGGTATTGATTGGGAAGACTCGTAGAGCGATGGGGTGCGGTTCCTGGGGCGCTGGCCATTTGTTGCCCCCTGACACAAGTTCAGTTGATAAGTGTTTAAGTTATATACTTATGATTTTTGCACTTTTTTCCATACATATTATAAGCATAAACATGTTGTAACATAACGGCATTAATAATAGGAACAACTAATATTTTAAAAAGTGTTTTTTTAAATGTGCCACGTTCCATTCTGCGTGCTTTCTTGTGGTATCTCATTTAAACCTCATTACACACCTGAAGGAATAGGGTTATCGTCGTGATGCCTCTGCTTCGTACATGAAGCAGCTAAGTAAGACCCGGAGTGGTTAAGTAATTTGCCACTCAGGGCCTCAGTCTTTACTGTTTACTTATAAGAGCTATTTGTATTTCTTCCCATTTTTTTTTGTGTTTTTAACATGCAGGTTTAAAACTTCCCTTCTCTCCTATTATTTGACATTTAGGTTTCCATTTTTTTGCTGTTACAAACAATACTAAGATAAAAATTCTTCCTTACTGTCTTTGTGCACATTGTCTGTTATTTCCTTCTGATAAATCCCTTTTTTTTTTTTTTAACTGAAGAGTTGTTCCACATAATTGAATTGGCTGTTTTGTTTTTGTTTTTTTTTATAGTGAGTAATGTAATGTTTAGAAAGGTTATCTCGTCTACTGTCGTGGAACATTATCATTTGACATATTCAGCAGATACTTATTAATCGTGTACTAGGGGTTAGCTAAGGGCCTCACGCTGCAGTGGAGGGAGACAAGCGAAGGTCTGGAGTTAAGTGGAGTGGAAGACTTGGGATTTACATTTGAGAAAGGTCACTCTAGCCATCTTATCGGAGAATTGCAGAGTTACAGATAGGCAGAGAAAAGACCGAAAAAGAACAGTGAGGAATCTGTTTCAGTCATCAAAGTGAGTCATGGAGTAGTGGAGGTGAACGGAAGAGGAGGTGCTAGGGTGCTCTGTGGGCGGTGGAGTCAGCACAGTTGGGCGGCTGTTCGCGTGGGGTGGTTTGTGGAGGAGAAGAACTTTACCGTGGTTTCCAGAGCTTGATTCTGGTGGATTGGGTGGAAGATGGTGTCATCCACTGCAGCAGAAAATAGAAGTTGGAACTTAGAGTTGGGAGGAATTGAGCTCTGTTCTCTTCAGTTTGTGGAGTCTGTGCAGCATTCACGTGGAGATCATAATGGTCCACGAGAGTGGGTATGTCTGCATCACCCTTTCTTGTACATCGTAGGACAGTAATTGTGGCTGAGATTGAGCCATTTATTAACTGCCAGAGTTTTAAGTATTTTACGCGGATTAAGACACGTTACCTCCACCACAGCCTTTCGAGACAGATACTGTCATTATCAGGAAATTAGATGTGGTGTGTAGGGTCACCCGGATGAGCTGGTGAGTGTGGAGCTGAGATTTCAAATGGCACTAGGCTGGCTGAGAAGCCATGCTTGTCACTGTCAATACAATGCTGTTTTATGTCTCAAAAAAAAAGTAGACTTTAGAAAAAGCACCCTGGTGCTGGACAATATATTCTGCTATTTGGCAGAGGTTAGCTGGTTTACTTAGGAAGACAAGTATTCTGGGTCCAGAGTTTGCTGACCAGGGTTTTACTCTTTGCCTTTTGGCTTCAATCTGTGATTGCGGAGGTTTTTTCTTTACTTTAAGGAAGAATTAACTTTTACTAGTTAGCTACCAAATACTTTTATGGACCAAAAGCGTTTATTTGCCATTTCTACCATGAAAATCGTGACATGAACGGTCCCAGCCTACCCGTGTAATAATTACTGCCCATTCATTCTTGTGATAAGCTTGCCAGTCTAGGCTTTCTTAAGGGACTATATTGGAAGAGTCCAGAGGTTCCAGCATCCTGTGAATTTGTTTTTGTGTGTATCATATGCTCACCTTTAATTATCTGTGTCAGCGGTGAGCACCATTGGGACACATCTTTCACCTGGCTTGGGGGATGCTGGGGATATTGATTGTCATACACCTGGCAGGTGCAAAGGAGCATCTCAGCAGTGTTTTTTTGAATTGGTTTCTCAGGAGCTGATCCATTGGAGAGACTCTTTCAAAGAATTCAATTATTTATGTAATTTATGGTTCTCAGTTGATGAAAATCTCATGTGAAAATAAATATTAAAGGTTATTCCTACTGCCTTACAAAAAAGATTTACTTAAGATATTTTCTTAATAATACAGATTTATAGAGTCATTTTAATCACTATATTTTGTATCATTTAATATACTGCTGTTGTGTTGAGTGACATGTTCTTGTTTGTAGTTCTTAATGTTATCGAACATCCTAATGTCCTTATTTAAAGAACTATAAGATAGGTTAGAAGACACAAACATTTGGCTATGAACACACCCTTAAAACCTCCTTTATTGTCTTCTCGTAGGAGGAGAGACTTCAGCATGCAAACCTTCATCTGTTCGGCTTGCACCGTCATTTTCATTCCATGCTGCTGGCCTTCAGATGGCTGGACAGATGCCCCATTCACATCAGTACAGTGACCGTCGCCAGCCAAACATAAGTGACCAACAGGTTTCTGCCTTATCTTATTCTGACCAGATTCAACAACCTCTAACTAACCAGGTGAGTTCATGATGTATTACAGAAACAATTTATTGGATGGCAGTTTATTTCTTAAAATGGTAGAATAGTAAATAGGCAAAATGCTTGAATGGTTTTCGGTTGTACATGTCACGTGGAATTTTGGATTGAAAAAATAGGTGTTAAAAGTTTTCATTGAAACGTTCGTTGATGTTTTTCTTTTTTCTATGTATTTCACTTAAATAACACTAATACACATAATCACATTATTTCATTCTATGATAGGGAGGGAAAAAGTTATTTCTAAAGAATATTAGTTAAACTAAAAGCTTATTTTTACGGAAAGGTAGTTGAGTAGAAACATGTAAGTTATAGGCAAACAAGTCAGATTCCATTATAGCAAACTTACAGAGTTGACTTTACTTTTATAAACTACTTTAGTACACATTTATAAAAATAAATACAAAACTCCTTAAAATTAAAAGGAAAAGCAAGTAATGGAAATTATAACCATGTTGTTTATTTGAATATTTAGACTAGAGATTTAGGAATTTTCTATAACATAGGTACTGGAAAGGGAATAAATGTTGGTTCTCTTGATACACATGCATATATGCATATATATGGTGTGTGTGTATGTGTGTATTTTTAATACCTTCCTGAATCGTCTGCACCCACTACATCGATCGTTGGTTTGGGGAGAATTTTTTACTGGCTATAATGTGGTAAGGTTCTTTCCCCAGTGGGGTTGAGTATGTGATGAGTGATGAAAACGGCTGTTTTTCATATACTTGGGATTTAGTTTGCCACTGTTTTATTCAGGGCTTTAGGATATCAAGTAATGACCAAAAACTTGGAAAATTTCGAAGTATTTCTTATACTGGATTATTTGAAGGAAATGTGTTTTCTCTAACATGTAACAAGTGGTTTTAATGAGCAGTTGGCTACAGTTAAGTAATATTAGAGGGCACCCTTGTATATATTATAATAAGGTTTTGTCACTGGTCGAGTTAGCTTTACATTTATAAAATGTGTATAACACGTGAATAACATTCAGTTAAGTAGTGAGATGAATTATGGCAGAACTTAAGAATTTGTTTTATGCAGTGAATTGAGAAGTCGCATGTTTGAGCATTGGAGCAGTTGGTCAGAATGTTCAAGTTTGGAAAGTGTTTCATTGTGTACGAGAAGAAAATTCTCTGAACATCAAAAAATAAAAATAGCACAATGATTCATTTGCATTGTACTTTTTAAGAAACAAAGTGTGTTAGGATTTATTTTCCCGCTTGTTGAAAAGCAGCCTATCAGGCAGGGCGCCTGTTTTTATCCATTTCACAGCCCGTGGCACTGAGCCTTCTTCCATCTGTTCTCCAGGTGTGTGAGTGCTGGGTGCTGAGGTCCCACCCAGGCCTCTTTCTTCTTAGAGAACTGTGCCTTTTGAGTTCTGACACCCGGCATCTGTAGAGGGCTAGAAAAATTCTGGTCCTTTAAGGTTATTTTTATGGTTATTGTCATAGGTAATTTAGTAGAGTACTTATTTTTAGATAAAACTAACATCTTATTTGGAGATTATTTTAAAATAAGAGATAATTCACTTAGTATTTTCATTTTTAACTGCAAAATATTTTTAAAGATTCGTATTATGTAAAAGACTTAAATAATATTCATTTTTAATATTTATAATATAAAATAATATTCAGCTAAATATTTCTCTAAACCATAGAAATTTCTGAACCTAATAATGCAGTCTGATGATGAGAAGAGATCTTTCTTAAACCCGAAGTGTAAACACTAAACCTGTGAGCTGCTGTGGCATGGTCTACAAGTCACAAAGGTCTTGACTCATGATCTGGCTGTATGAGTTGAGTCAGGTCACATGGACCCTTCTGTCTGTTCCTTGAATGGCTTGGACCAGACCCCTACTCCCCAAAGTACCTTCTAAACTTTTAAAATTTTATTATTTGGTTTCCATTGTTTCTTGTTAATCATCCTATCAGTGTCTTTTAAATAAGGTTTATTGTATAAACTGAAATGAGCTAACTTTAACATTTATTTCTGGTAGTTAGTGTTTCATACAAGTTTAAACAGTTTTGTTCAAAAAATAAATTTAGGAAATGAGAAATGTAGTGAAAGTATAGAAAAGTATGATTGATGTTTGGAACGCTGAGTCTGTGCTTGTATAGTTTTCACAGTACCTTTCCTAGTTCTTAAACTAAACCAGTACTCTGGATATGTGTGAAATATGCTATTCGGCTTTATTAATAGCTCTCAAAGGAGCAAGAAAGGCAGAATATAATGTTTCTAATTCTGCATTATGTATGAAAATATGAGGTGAATATAAATAAAATGAATGAAATAGATATTAAACTGGAAACAATTTTTAAATTAAGTTCTGGAGCTTACACTATGGAATCTTTTCAGGAGAAAAAAAGATTGTTTTAGTTCTCATTACTGATCTTAAGCAAGAGTTGCAAACCAGTACTTTTCTTTTGCTCTGTAGTCTGCATATATTCACACAGAAAGGTCTAGAGACATGAGCATTGGGAGTGTGGCTTTTTCTAGCTCCCTTGGGCCAGATAGCAGAGGCAGCAGGAGGCTATCCCCCCCACTTCCGCCCCGCCGCCACACACAGAGGACACTGGACGGGAAGGGCGGTGGAACGGGACTAGCCACCTTCACCTTGGTGAGCTTTTGGGTTCTCTGACCACCATAGGCTTTTTTCAGCTGTGGAGAGGAAGAAAGGAGCTTGCTGCCTTACTGTGCAGTCTCCTGACTTCGTGGCTCTAAGCAGCTGGAAGTGGAGGAAGCATCAAATGCTTAGGGCTGGCCTTTGTCTTAGTACAGATTTATTTATAACTGAGCATTTGGAAAAGTTATTTTCTAATCTGAATTTGTGCTTATGGCAGCACAGTATTTCAAAAGCAAAGTTTGGTTACCTAACTGAAATAATAATGAAAATTAGTGAAGGGAGTGTTTATTTAGTTTATAGAAATTAATTAATTTTTTTTTCAGTGTATTTTGAGCACCTACTTTGTACAAGGCACAGTTTGAAGCACTGAAATACAGTCTAGACCAAAGGCCAATTGTTTTGTGAACAGAACTTATATGATTTATGTAAACAGATGCCCCTGAAATAGTAACTTCTACTGCCACAGGTAAATGAGAAAAGGTATTTAGAATTAGCTAATTGATTTGGCCTTGTAGGCAGAGTTTAACCAGTTGTTGAAGAGGTTAGTGATATTTCGTGAAGTGCCAGGCACATAGCATACACTCAGTTGAGTGCAAAAAAAATCGTTCCTTAGTCAAAATTACGTTCATATCCCACTTCATGTTATTTACTATACATTTAAAATTGTTGTTTTTGATTGTGTGATTTTGGTGTTTTGAGTGAGCATAATTACTCTTGGAAAGATACAGTCACTGATTGTTTTTTCAGATGTTTGAGATACCAGTGGAATTGTATATGGGCAGGTTAAATACTTAAACACATCCACGGTTTTGTACATAACTAATTGTATTAAATGCATATGCTTATTTTATTGGCATTTATTATTCATGACTCAATTATTTCGCCCAACAAATAGCCTTAAAATGATTCAACCAAGAGGATAGACTAGAGACGTAAAATTGATGGAGAGCTCCTGGCCTGGCGTCGGGGTTCAGAGCATGGGATTCGGTGAGAAACTGCCTCACTTCGCATCTCACCCTGTCTTCTTCACTGCCTCTAGGCTTTTGTCAAGTGACTTTACATCAGAGACTCAGGTTTCTCATTTGTGGATTGGTGACAGGAGTGTCACTTACCTCATAAAATTGTTGAGAGGATTACCTGAGAGACATGTAGAAACATGCATGCCCAAACCGTAGTATGTAGCAAATACTTGTTACTACTATTTTATTGTTAACTACTTACGTAATTTGTTTCTAACAATAGTTATACCTTCTGTCAACTTTTATTATAAGTGGTAATGAAATATTTTACTGCTTCAGACTTTGTGTAATCTCACAGTGAGGCTGCCCTCCAGTAGCCCGACCAGGGTCTTGCTGAGTAAATTACCTGCATGAAAACAATGCCAGGCTCTTAAAAAAAGTAAAAAGGAAATATGTTAAGGGAAACCTCTTTTATACCTTAAATGCTTATAGCATTCATTAACAAGAAATAATTGTCATGCTTATTGCTGATACTGTCTATTCATTAAATTAAATCTTGAAGGAATAGTGTAAGAATATTCTGTGAATTTAGCTGTACCTGCTCTTTATTTATATTTAGAAAAAAATAAAACAATATATATTAGAAAATTAAGAAATTCAGATTTCTTATTACTTCTTACTATCTTTTCAGATAAATAGTTATAATCGCTGGAGGATTTTTCTCCTTAAACCTTATTTGGAACTTTAAAAAGGAGAGAATCGTGAGAAGAGATAATTATTAACGTAACAGTAATTCAGTGACTTTACTATCTGGTTAACAACTTTTTAGAGTTTGGGTAGAGATGCAGAGGAAACTAATGTTAATAATGGTTAAAAGAAAGTACATCTAGTAACTATGCCAGCTCTGTCTTTTCATACCACATGAATGGTGATTCTTTCCTGTTCTGTCCGGTGTCACCTTACAACCTTCCTCTCTTTTTTTCTTAATGTGGGTTAGCTTGGTTAGTTATCCCAAGACTCCAGACGTTTCTGCGAGGCCGTGGTATGATGTGGTTACTGTCTCTCTGTCCCTCAAATTAACCCAAGTGTCCTTAGAGAGAGGCTGCATCAGGGGCTTCTAGCTCAGTAGATTTTTTTTTTTTATTATTAAATTTATCAGGGTGACATTAGTTAATAAAATTACATAGGTTTCAAATGTACACTTTAATAATATATCATACATATATTGCATTGTGCGTTCACCACTCAAAGTAAATTTTAAGTTTCCTCTGTCACCTTATATTTGACCTCTTTTACCCTTATCTACTTCCCCTTCCCTCTTGTGACCATTAAACTGGTGTCCTTGTCCATGAGTCCTTGTTTCTTTGTCTTGTTTGTTGCTTTCAGTTTTACATCCCACATATGAGTAAAATCATATGGTTCCTGACTTATTCTGTCTGATTTATTTCACTTAGCATGCTAATCTCAAGATCCATCCATGTTGTCGCACATGGCAGTATTTCATCTTTTATTATGGCTGAGTAATAGTCCACTGTATGAATGTACCTTATCTTTAGCCAGTCATCCATAGAAGGACATTTCGGTTGTTTCCATGTCTTGGCCATCGTGAATAATGCTGCAGTCAACATCAGGGCACATATATCTTTAAGGATAAATGTTTTCAAATTTTGGGGGTACATACCCAGAAGAGGGATTGCTGGGTCATATGGTAATTCTATTCTTAATTTTTTGAGGAACCTCCATGCTGTTTTCCATAGCGGCTGTACCGGTTTACATCCCCACCAGCAGTGTAGGTGGCCCAGTAGATTTTACCAGCATAAATGGCTATTAGAGCTAGGCAGGAATCTGGGGATGGCTAGGGGCCGTGACTGTCGATACCTTGATGTAATTAATTGGTTTTGAGGATTTGTTGATTACAAAAAAAAAACCCCACCAGGAACCCCTTCCGTCACAACACATGGTGCGAGAGTGGGACGTGGATGGCGGTCACGACGCGCTAGCGCAGCATTCCTGGGCATCTGTCCAGAGGACGTTCGTGTGCCTGCTCTGTCTCCCGTCCGGCAGGGAGCTCACAGTTAGACACTGACTGCCTGTTGGATGGTGGAAGAGATGTGGTTTAGGATTGGGGGGTGGGGTGGGAGGAGTTAATAAAGTATGGTTGAAATGAGGTTTTTGAAAGTCTCCTTAGCTTTAAGGTGTCCTTTGGAGTTTGCGGACAGCTGCTAGTGTAATTGTAGGTAGGGATGTTGGTATTATGGATTCATTTGTTTATTGAGATATTTCTTAAACATCTACTATGTGCCAGGCACTGTTTTAGGCAAAGGGAATACAACATTGATCAAAAGAATCCCTGCCATTATGGAGTTTTCCTTGTAGTGGACGGAGAATGAGAGAAAACTAAAACCAGCATCTGCGTGCATAAATGAGTAGTCTGTCAGGTGGGGGTAAGGGCTGTGGAGAGTAATGCCGCATGGAGGGGGAAGGGGATGTGGAGGGCATGTTGTACTCAAGTGTGTTAAAGAGATGAGAGCAGATTCCAGCCTTAGCTACAGGGCAGATGCTTGTCAGAGGGCAGGGACCGGGGCTGTTGGAGCTTTACTTCTGTAACACCAAGCTGCACTCCTGCTCTACGGCGCTTGCTTCGTGGTGCCCACTGAGTCCTGAAATCCTTTCTTAGGAAGCTGAAGTTGAGTTTGTCTGACCTGTGTGAACCAGGTCAGGCTTCAGGAATAATTCAGAAGAAGAAAGTTTTTGTTGGGCTAATTGTATGGTGGAGAAGCCCTCTTGGGCAGCATCGTGCGAGTTTCCTGGACCCTAGGGTATGTCTGTAACCCCACTGTTGAATCTGGAGAACCAGATCGAAGCCTGGGACAGCTGGGCATGTTACTTGCTAATTTCATTGACTTGTTCCCACGGTAGGTTGTCTTCAGTGGAATCCAGTTGAAAAAGAGAGCAATATAATCTTCTAATGTAGATGTCTTTTTTTTTTTTTTTTTTTAATGCATATATACAGATTACAGAGGAGGGAATTTATACCAATTCAGTATAGTTAAAGTGCTAGTCTTTTCTGTCTATTTAAGGTGATGCCTGATATTGTCATGTTACAGAGGCGGATGCCCCAAACCTTCCGTGATCCAGCAACTGCTCCCCTGAGAAAACTCTCTGTTGACTTGATCAAAACATATAAGCATATTAATGAGGTAAGACTATTCATTTGTTATAACAGCATCTGTCTTGCAGTAGAGCAGGGAAAAAAGTTGTTTTGTGACCTCTTTGAACATAACTAAGCTTTTTTTTAAACCTCAATGATTGTCATATTGATAAATATTGTGAAGACTGGTAAGTTAATGATTTATAGATAATATAGTTATAATTATGTAAAAGAAAGAAGATATACTAACGAGGGCTGTAGAAAATTAAGATAATTGTGGATAACTTCCCCCCTTTTCAGAGTTGTATTTAATATATGCTGAATTATTATTTCTATAATAAGTTCTCCAAAATAAGAAGGGAGAAAGTGAGAGAATAATGACACTATAAAAGTATGTATATATTAGAATTTTGCTTAAATTTTTACATATTGGTTTCTCCTTTTGCTGTGGATGTCAGGAAGCTCTGAGGCACATTTAATACCTACATAACAGGCATTCGGTCTAGTTAATTTGATCTATTTCTGTGATTTAAATTTTTTTTTAAATTTTATGTGTGTGCTTTTATTTATATCTTTTCATTGTAAGATATCTGAAAGCCTTTTTGGTGGAAGTAAGTAGGATAAAAAAACATAGACAGCACTTTGAATTACTCATCTTTCAGCTTGGCCCTTTGCCACCCAAAATTGTTTTTCTAGTGTCTCAGACCTTTGACTTGACTGCCATTGGCGTCCAGTCTCAACTTCCACTCCGTAATTAATGTTAAATGAGCTTTTCTGGAGCACGGTGGGTGTGCCTGAGCTTGCCTCCTCCAGTGTGAGCCCTACACCCTCTTACCAGCTTTCGAGCCATGTAACTAAAAAGATGTTCTTAAGTGTATAAATTTTACAGCCTATTGGTGCTGTTTAATGCCAATATTATTATATTAAAGCGACAAGATAAAATTAGAATGAACTCAATGAGGAACATTTCTGAGTTGGATTTTGTACACAATTAATGTTATAAAAAATGTGCCAAACTAGCTTTTGATTATCTGAAAATAATCCGATAAATTGCCAACACTTTATTAATGTCAATTTCTTAATATTTGATAAATTAACGAAGCTACTGTTAAGCCGTTGTTAACAGTAACTTTGTTGAAGCTCATTTTTAACTGTTTTGCTGCCTTGTAAACCAGAGTTTTTTTATTCTGAGAAACATAATTTATAATTTCCTTAAAGTTAGATACCAATTATGTAGACTTGTTGCCTAGTTTACCTATTATTTTTTACTGGCTTTAGAAACTGTTTTATGAGAAAAACACACATAAGGAAAATAACCCAATCCGTTAATGGCCTTCATTCAGTATTATAGGCGAAGGGAGGGAGTGGCTGTTTTTCATTAATTGTTATATTATTACAGGCTTAAGCATTGGGCCTGTCTCAGAGGGCCTGTCGCATTAGTGAAACATCAGTTTAGATACATTTAACTGCTCCTGAATAAAATCTATGCCTTATGATCAAATATAAAATTGGGATTGACTGGAAGGAGAGGGCACGAGGGGACTTAAACATGAGGAGGATGAAAATGTTCTTTTTTTTTTAGGTTTTGCCTTTGTTGATTACATCAACATATACATATTTTCCAAAATCTTTCATAATGATGCTCTTAAGAGCCATGTCACCTCACTGGATATAAACTGTATCTTAATTTAAATAATAAATGTAAATGGGATCCTGTTACTCTTCTGGAATGGGATGCTCTGGGCCAGTTACTTAACGTCTCCTATTTATAAAGTGTATAAGCAGTATAAGTTTAAAGTGAATGTCAGTGTAGACATTTCTCATTAGTTATATATCAGTATTTTTCTATAATTCAAGTAGCAATTATAGGAAATTCTTTATTTCATGTTTTTTATTTGCTATTAAGAATAACAATTCATCAGTTTCCTACTGATAGCAGATATGTCTCTTGATATATGCTCCCTTAATCTCTAGTAATGTTTTAAATTGTACAGTTAACACTTTGTATTCTCGTTTCAGGTTTACTATGCAAAAAAGAAGCGAAGACACCAACAGGGCCAGGGAGACGATTCTAGTCATAAGAAGGAGCGGAAGGTTTACAATGATGGTTATGACGATGATAACTATGATTATATTGTAAAAAACGGAGAAAAGTGGATGGATCGTTACGAAATTGATTCCTTGATAGGCAAAGGTTCCTTTGGACAGGTAATATAATGGAAAATGCTGAATTTCATAAATTAGAATTTTTTAGTGAATCATATTGTTACACCCTTTCCTCAGATGTATACTTCAGAATATTTGTAAATGATATATACAGTGGTTATGCATTTGGATTATCACAGTTCTCTAAAGATAGTAACACTGTATCAGCTATAAAAATTCCATTGGACTTTTTTTTCTTTACTTACTTTCTAAAGTTACCTAGTACTTATCTTACTAATGACTAAGTGGTTGATTTTAATCACTTATAGATAGTATTGCCCCTTTCAGATGTGTTTTATATAATCTTTGGAGAATTCTTCATTGTCAGTGCTAGAGATAATTACCTTCCTGTCTGCTGCTCCTCTTCAAAGAGAAAAGAATCACTATTTTCAGCTGGGACAGCAGGTGCCCTCTCACTTTTTGGAGGCTTGGAAAGCCAGGGGTTGCACCCTGGGCCTTTCCCATGGCCTAAGTGTGGCAGGCCTAAATGGGCAGGTGGTCCTCATAGCATCAGCATTGCTCGTACGGTGATCAGGGTAATTTTGATGGAAAGGATCACTTAGGCAGCTTCTACTGGGAATAAGAGGAAGGAATTCCAAGGGACCTGTTTTTTTCTCTTTATTCCTGGCCTCTTCCTCCACCTACGACTCTCCCTTCCTCACCTGACTGCCCAAACCCCATTACAAAGTGCAAAACCCTAAATACGTTAATCTCGTCCATCAGTGGTGCCCAGAACAAGAGCTAACAAAATCTTTCTCTTTGCACTTTTAAAAAGCTTTTTCTCTGGCTGTGGATCTCCCAGTTCGTTGCACTTGTAACTTCTGTCTCATTGAGTCACAGAGCTCTGTTTTGTTTGAGGTGTGATTTGTCAGTCCCAGTCGCCTTCATTTTTGCAACCTTTGTGCAGTGTGTTGGTCATGAACCTGCAATCCAATTACTTCTTTTGACTTTTTAATGATGACAGAATGGGTCTCAAAATGACTTGACTGGAACTACTTTTTTTGATGTAAAAAATCTCCAAAAACCGGAACTTGTATGCTCTTACTTATCTGTTCCTACCTTGAGAGAAAGGAAAATATGCCTCTTTTCAACCTGGTGGGACAAATTCATTATGTGTCGGTCTAATCACGCTTAGGACAGAAAGTGTTCTGTCGGCCATCGCAGCCACAGGTCTAGACCCGGAAAAGTCTACGCTCTTAAACTTGTAAGGAAATCTGAACACAGTTGCCGGAGGACTGGATCGGTGCCGTGGCTCTTCCAGGCCCCCATGTCACATGCGTAGTGTGTCTGCCCCTTTCCCTGATTTCAAGGGATTTTGGTGATTGCACATAATTCAGGGACTTCTCCCTTGATTCGTAACCAGGGTTTCTCGGGATTTTGGGAGTCTCTGTTTGTGAAAGTTTCACTTTTTTGTCAGAAGCTGCTTCTGTTCCTCTGTTAGTCTCAAGGTATTTCTGAGGCCCAGCTTTTTTTAAGTAATCTTGCGAACACCCTCGACATAGAAATTGCTGTCTCCACCTTGAGAATCACACCGACGTTTATGCAGTTGCTCTCAACGAGATGTTGTTACTTTTGTGATCTTTTGTAATGTCCACCGTGAAAATGATGGCCGTGTAGCCTTCTCTCTAAACTTTTCCCTAGATACTCAGTCATTTGGGCTCAGGGTGATGTTTTCCTCCTCCCGTTTAATTTTCTTATCCTCTAATTCCTGAGAGCAAGTGAGCCCAATAAACCTGTGCAAGTACAGGCCTCTGTGACATCAGACTCCATTGCGGCAGGTCACATTGATGCCTGTCTCCTACGCCGAGGTGCGCTCGGTCTCTGGACCTCTGATCTCTTCCATGTCGATGTGGCCAGACTTTCTCTAAAGTCTCTGCCAGATCCTTGTTAAAATAAGGGGCTCCTTCATTTCTTAAGCCAGTGATAACCAGTCCTGATTGCACATTGAAATTTCCCGGGGAGCTTTGGGGGGAGCAGGGGGAAGACTGATGCTTAGGTGCCAAACCAGTTAAATCAGAATCTCTGTGATTAGATTCTGGGCATTGATATTTTTTAAAAAATGCCTATTAAATATGTAATTCAGGATTGAAAACCGTTGCTTTAGCATTTAGCTGGTTAACTATTTGCTAAGTCAGTAAATAGTTGGGCCCCTTTGAATGGCCTTTGTCCCGGAGACGGAGATGGTTGGGATCTGGGCACTGGACTGCAGCTCTTGGTGCAGTCAGAGTCGATGAAACAGAAGGATGTCAGCACCACTCGGTCAGATGTTTACACGGGCAGCCCCTGATTTAAAATACAGTCGATAGTATATTTTAGAATTGGGCAAAACCAGAGACGTTGGTTTTTTCATTCTACGTTTGGTTTTAGCTGAGCTGTTTGTAATCTGTCACTGACAGTATTTTTAACTTTGACTGACACAAATCTTGGAACATGCATTCCATTCTCTCCCTGTAATCCAGCGGCACTCAGCCTGCACATGGGAATCACTTGGAGTTCTACCTGCATGTCCAGACTTGCAAATGTGCGAGACTGTGTATCTAAAACTATTACCTATTCGGATTACATATAATACTGTAAATGTAACTTATTTAATCAGTGCTAGTGATTGGTAGAGATAAGAGTTTTCATTTATGTATTGATTTCTTAATTTTTATGTAAATCTCTTCGTTAATAGCACGAAACTCATTTTAAATGAGTAAATTAAAATGAGTGATGTGCATGACGACTTGGTCACGAATACTCCCCTCTCCTTAGCATTCACTGATTCTCATTTTAAAACTGTCAAACTTATTTAGGCATTTAATGTTTATCATGGAACTTCTCTGGTAATTTGTATTTGATTTTTTATTTTTTAGTGTAAATTAATCCTTCTGTTATATACTCATGTTTTAGCTATGAAAATCTAATTTAAAGTTAGGAAGTTATCTACATTTTTCAGGTGACTTAGAACTTTTAAAATATTTTACACTAATACTTCGGATTTAAACCAGGTTTTTCTCTCATATAAAGAATAGTTGGAAGAATTGTCTTAGAGTGTTACTTAGGTGAAAAAACGAAGCACCTGTTAAGATTCATCATATTATTTTCAAAGGAGGAAAATAGTTAATCCAATTTTGTTAAGAAAGTTCTGTTTTGTGGATATTTAGAAATACTGTAAGGATGCAAAAGAAATTTAGTTGAAAAGATTGAAAGCGATTGTAAAGCAGTAAATGGATACTACTGAATGGAAATGAATAGGCTGTCTTCTGATTAGGAAGGTCAGAAAATGAGTTAGGTCAGTGTACAATTAAGGCGAATTGTAAAGTACTGTGAGCTTGTTGCCATTAATGAAATAGAGAATTATTCCTCTTTCTTCTCTTTTAGGTTGTAAAAGCATATGATCGTGTGGAGCAGGGTTGCCATTAAAATCATAAAGAACAAGAAGGCTTTTCTGAATCAAGCCCAGATAGAAGTGCGACTTCTTGAGCTCATGAACAAACATGACACTGAAATGAAATACTACATAGGTAAGCAGGCAGACAGAGCTCTGTGCGCTTACCCAGACCAGAGATCTGAGTTAATGGTGGTTTTTGTACGAAAATGTTGATTTTATCTTAAAGCGATTGACCAAGAATTCAACTGTTTATTTCTGTTGGAGGGCATAGATTTAGATAAGTTACCTGATCTGGCCGTAATATTCTAAGTCTTTGGGAATGTGCATGCAGGTGGTGTACAATTCATAAACAAACAAGAATAGTGTCATTTTTTGGGGGGTGGGGGGCAACTTACAAGTGCTGTTTGTTTGCTTTAATCACACGTGTTATTTCAGAGAGTCCTCTTTCTGGTAACTTTCCCCCTTAGTTTCTTCTCTGAGGTATCTGGTATAATCCATAGTATAACATTTGTATTTAAAACCTTTTTGCTGAACACTTACTGAACATTTGCTATTCACTGTAATTATAACTCAGTATAAAGTGAGCTCATTCTCATTCAAGGGGCTTAGAAACGCAAGCAGCCGTTCTAAGGACACTTGACTTATAAAGTGGTCTCTGGACATGGATCCCCCCTTCTTTTCACTCTTGTTTGTTGCATTTGAGTGTTTGCTTAAGTAGTAAAGATGTTGGTGTGTTACTGTGACATTTTAATTTTTGCCTTATTGAAAGAAGACATGGCAGGCATATAGTAAGCATTCAATAAATGTTAGCTATTCAGTTCTGTATAGTAATGGTTATCATTTTTTGTTTCTAGTAAACAGACTAATAATTGTTAACTGTATGAGTCATTACAGATATTCTTTTGGATGAGGTTTTTGTTTTTAACTCCTATTAGGAAGATGGTGAGTGCAGTGTCTCAAGAAATTGAGGTTCTGTATTGAAAACCAGAGAAAAATAACTTTACAATTAGATATAGCCATGTCTGTAGAGTTGCTACCTTAAATTTGAGGTGTCTGTAGGTCATGTTGCTCTTCTACGATGTAAATAATTTATATTTTGAACTGATCGATCTTTTATAGTTTATTCTGATAAGTTTTATATTCATTCTTTGAACTATTAAAAAACCTACTTTACCATGTAGCATAATTTCTTATCTGGATTATTTGGTACTTGCCATGGTCTAGTTACAAGGAAAGTTAGTTTAGGTCTAGAACAAAATTTTGCAAATCCAAAATTCAGTTAAAAAGACGTGGGTGTGAACGTTCTTTGATAACGTCGTCAGTGCTTGCTTAGTACATCATAGTGACAGTACTGAGTAGTACGGAGATCGGGAGCCGAGTGGGTTGATGTTCCACTGGCAGAACGTCCTCATCACAGAGCTTCGCAGAGGGATTTTCATACTCACCCTGGAATTCCGGCATCAGTTACCTTTTGCATTACTTTTGTGGCTAGTGTTTGACCATATTAAAACTCTTGCATGGACCATATCTGTGGTGTGTCTTATTGTCATGTGATTTTAGTTGTAAACCTATGAACTTCAGTCAGTAAGAGCAGAGATTAGACAGTCTTATGTAACCTTCAGGATTCTTTTTTTATTTGCAGGGTGTTGCATTGTACTGTAGACTCCTGTAGAGCCATGCAGTGTGTGCGCTGTTATTTATCCTAATTTTAGACCACGTGTATCAGGAGTGATCTAAAAACGATGTTGATGTGCACTGCTTCTGGGGAGGCAGTCTGTGGTTGCTACCAGGACATCTCAATGTGTCCGCAATCACAGAGACCAGGCACGAATACTGTCGTAGTTATTCCAGATAGATCTGTAGAAAAACCTGTTTTTATGATACTAAGAGACCAAAATGAAGGTAACCTTGACAAACAGTGGTTTTATGTCACTCCAATTGAGTTACAGGTGCTCTGGTATATGTAAGAATTTCTGTGAAGGGCAGCACTTTATTCAGTGACCTCATCTGATGTGAAGTCAGTGTTAATTCTGTGCTTTAAGTCTTTGAAGCAGTTGAGCGAGTGAGTAGTAGCCTTCTTGGAAGGTCAGCAGTGATGGCAGGTAATGTGTTCTACTGTTTACCTGTTCATAAGCCTACTTATAATTTCTTCTTGTGATGGAGCTCTAGTTTGAAATTTTCCCACACCTCAGTTTTGCACTAGATGTCCCATAGACCAGTTTGATGAACATAATCAGATGCTTTGATTATGAATTCTAATACCTTCCAAACATGATTTCAAACATTTGCTGTATTCGAAAGGAAAAAAAATCTGTCTCCCTTTGACAGTTGTTACAGAAAACTACTAATGAAATCTAAGACTGGCCAAAGCAGATTGTGTATGTACATCCTAGCCATTCCAGAGAGGGCTGCCAACACAGCACGGCCACAAACCAGAGAGCCCAGTGGGTGGAGCTTAGACACACAGAGTTGTGAGGTTGCGCTCTCAGGAAGTAAAAGGTGCTTTCTCTTACAAATGAGGATCAAGTTACTAAAGTATTCTCAGTACTGTTTGTCAGTTTGCTACTCATGTTTTCATACCTGACTTAGTTTTTTTAAAAACACAAGGCATTTTGGTACTACTTCTTACATTATTGCTTTTTGGCAGAAACTGCACCTGTTTAATTCAGTAAATAAACAATTTAGATATTCTTAACTTATTAAAGAATGTGCTGTTACTACAGAATGCTGATCTCCAAATTTTAACTTGATTTTCACTTTACATTGGACATTTAATGTTATAGATTTTTGCGAGTTTATGCATACATTATTCTCATTTTATGGGCTTATGTATAATTTAAAATGAAACTTTTTCTCTTTCAGTGCATTTGAAACGCCACTTTATGTTTCGAAACCATCTCTGTTTAGTTTTTGAAATGCTGTCCTACAACCTCTATGACTTACTGAGGAACACCAATTTTCGAGGTGTCTCTTTGAACCTAACACGGAAGTTTGCACAGCAGATGTGCACCGCACTGCTTTTCCTGGCGACTCCAGAACTTAGTATCATTCACTGTGACCTAAAGCCTGAGAATATCCTCCTTTGTAACCCCAAACGCAGTGCAATCAAGATCGTTGACTTTGGCAGTTCTTGTCAGCTGGGGCAGCGGGTAAGTACATTCCAGGACTTGTGAATTAAGTAGAATTAGGTAAGATAGTGTAGGTAGATATTTGAAATGTTATTAATGTGTATACAATTTAGCGGTTATCACAAGATGGTTATCTTTAAAACATAGCACTTGATACGTTGTGTTGATAACTATTTTATAGAAATATCTTTTAAAATGCAAATAGGCTTATGGCCATGCTGCCCTGAGCAAGCCCGATCTCAGCCGATCTCAGAAGCTAAGCCATTTTGGGCCTGGTTAGTACTTGGATGGGAGACCACCTAGGAAGACCAAGTGCTATAGACGT